GAATTTTCATGTAGTGGTAGTTTATCCACGGATTACAAATGCAACAATACTTTCCTTAACATTTTTAACACACCATTCTACGATTGTTCAAATGTAAATATCTTTTGGGATGCTCCAAGGAACAATTTGATACTCACTATTGAAGCAGCAAATTATACAAATTTAAAACAACCGTTTGCAGTCTCACTAAGCAGTAGATTGGGTCTAGTACCAGTTTATAGAATGTATTCAAATGGACAAGAAGTCTTGATATCAAAAACAGAGGAAAAACAAAGTGTACACACATCTGATGAAAATTATCAAGTTGTACTGAAATTTAAAGGACCACAACGATTTCAACTTTATGGAACGTTCATCGAATATCAAGTTGCACCAATTAATACGAGTGCTTCGTAAAAAATGTTTCGAGTTCGTCGGCGAATAACATCGGGAAAAGAAACATACGCCTTTATTATATTAATTATTCTTTGTCATCATTTTTTACCGTTTTGAAGAATGATGAATTAAAATAAGAAGTTGATGATATTCTCTGTTTTTCTATTGACATTGTCGTAGGTTGGTTCGTTCTTCGTTAGACAAACAGTGTGAAGTACTTTCAGTTGTAGTCAAATATCGAAGAAGGATACATTATCTTCTTCGTTGGATGTCTAATCTTCGAGCATTGAATAATGTTATATTCCAGGAAGATTCAAGGAAGGATAAAGATGAAGATTAGCCATTGTGGCCGGATGAATTTAGGGAGAATTTGTTAGCAGTAAATGACGAACTTATTGATTAATTGAAACAATATTTATCATTTACATATACGATTACAAGAACTACTGAACCATTCAAGAGATTGAAATCTTTCAGTGTTGGCCTGTTCGAATATGGATCGGTTGACTGACAAAATTAATCAAATAGATTCCTTAATTTTATTTGTAAAGTATCAGAAAACTATTTTCGACGATTTTTGTTTAATAATTTTAAATATATTTCACGTTACCTAAATATATTCTACACACTAAAATAAAATGTTTCGTATGATAGATGTCTTATGTTATGTATATACAGTGGATCCTACAATTCAATAGAATTATTATTCATAGTACATCAGCAGATAAATGCATAAACTAATCTACATCGCCTGTCTCATGACCTATCTTACCTATATCAAGTTACCTTTCTTTAAATAATTTGCATAATATAACTCACCCTTCCTAATTGACAATACTCCGATTAAATTCATCTAATGATCATCCTGGTTACGGGAATATTACTGAATATTGTAACAAAAATTCATATGATATATTACATCTATTGATTATTATATGATATATTGACGCTGTGAATTTCGGATCTTCATTTTGATCTATTAAATTAAACTGAAATTGCTCTTAAAACCATTTGAAAAGACCCTTTAGCAAGGTTGAAACCGGTCTTGACAGCTTGCCTCACACCCTCACATTCGTGAGTAGTATTTTGAAGTGAAGAAAATGCCAACTAAATTAACACTTCGTATATTAGCGATTTATTGAGGAAAAAAAAAGCTATATTAGTTTATTTGTCTACTTTTTCTGATCTTCGTAATATAGAAAAAACAATTATTAATCATCTTTCCGAATTTTACATATATAGCCTTGAGTATCTTTCCAAATGCCATCATGAGAAGTTTGAAATAAAACTGAAAATATGAAAGCAATACCATTGCCGGTTCCACTCGTGACTGAATAGGGATAATTATATCAAAAATATTGTATCGCTTAATTTTTTTTCTGTTCCTTATCATTTCATTTTAGTGATTTACTGAAAAACAATTGATAGTTGCTAAACATGAAACGGATTATGTTTCAAAATAAAATATGACAATGTACTGACTGTAAAGGTATATCACTGCTATCCTACCTTGTTACTGACTGACACACTCTACGTCTTCTCCTTTGTGCCTGCTATCCATTCTTCCTACGGATGTGACCGCTTGACCTTCCTCCTTCTATGTAAAGGGCGTGTATTGAAAGAGAGAGAACACACTTGGAGTGGCGAAATAGCCGAATAAACATCGTGTCGAATGGTATAGGCACGCACGTCTATCCATTTGTGGTCACTGACATTTATAAGTAGACTAATCGCATACATGGATCCTTTAATTCCAAACTAAATCGAAAAGACACTGCTTCAAATGAGGTATACCATGTGCACAATGGTAGAATGAATGTTCATCGTTCGAATTGACGAAAAGACCTGTCGTTGCGGGGCATTGAAATGCATTAATGAACGAATGGGATATAACGCAAAGGGGGACAGATATTACCCTTAAACTAATGATTGAAAACACAGCATTTTTCATTCTCTCATCTTCGATAAACATACCTTCGAAAATGTACAGGTGCTTCATTGCTCATTATTATATTCATCATCAGGATGAGAGCGGAGAACATACTCTTTCTCGGAGAAGTCAGAAAAAGGCCACCTTAACTGGGACTAACGACATAAACGCTAGGTTTCAGTCAGCTAAGCTAGAACACGACAACACAATGGTAAGGTAAGGTAGAAAAGTTGAGAGAAGTTCAGACATGGTAAGATAAGGTAAGGTAATGTAGAGAAGTTGGTTACAAAATGCAAATAATTGAAACATGATGGCTTTTCCCTGAGGTTTTCGAGAAGCCGGTTCGGAAAACCATATTGTATTATAAATTGTTATTGCTGTTTTCTTTCAAAAATAGAATATAAACCAGGCTAGATACCGTACATCTTGAAGTTCTGACCTCGTTCTGATGTTTTTTGAATGAATTATGACTTTTTTAGTAAGAGGTGATAAGTCTAATTTTGAAACTTGGTTTTCGCCACATTGTAATACCTTTTTTTAAGAATAAATACCGACACGAGATTCACCATAGTCGAAACTTATGTTTGTATGCATTGCTGAGATTCATTGACTGAAATATACTGCGTCACACAAATACTTCCGGGGCAGAAATACTGTTTAACCACTCACTTTCATAACCCACGTCCTCCCCCCCCCACCGAGTGGCTCCAATATGTCTTTGCGTCTTGATATCGAGCACTGCACACGGCACACTCATGTAGAGATACCGTGTAACCATCCGAATAAACCCGATAAGGGGAGAAACTTGGTATTCCATCACCCTTCCTTTCCTCCCGTCACTTACGTTAGTCTATCATCTCTAGGCATCTCTTACCACAGGTTACCGCAGAAAGGCACTCTGCCTTATTTTAACTTCTCAATACTACCTTACCTTATCATATCTTAACTTCTCTCTTTACCTTAACATACCATAGGCTGAGAATTCTCAGAGAAGTTTTAAATTGTTCAGTTCTTCTGACTTCTCAGAGAAAGAGTATTTTCTCCACTATGATCAGAATGATACAGATATTTTCTTTCTCCTTTGAGTGCATCTCATCAAACCAAGCAAATCATAGAAATTTAATTTAAACTAAGACTCTATATCTGAATATGAATTTTTATCATTCCAATTATAATTGTTTGGTTGAGTGAGACAACTATAGTTGTGGAGAAAATGCGGCCATGCTTTGAATAATTTTCTTTTCAAGTGCCTTTATTTTTGCTTTCTTCAGTTATAAAATGTGCAGAAATCATCTTGCTTTCTGTTTTCTTGGAAGAAATAGAGAGTAACCTGACTATCGTACGGCTTGATCTCAACATTTTTCATTATACAAATGAATCGACATTGAAAAATCGAGATTTGATGAATGACTGAAAACTCTTTGATAATGCCGACAAATATATAGATTATATAACATCAAAATTCGATGAGAAGTTTTATTTAATCATATCCGATGTCTTTGTAGATTATCTTACACCACTCATTTATGAATTGAAGCAAATGAAAAAGATCTATGCACATGGGAGTGATATTCATATTCAAGATGGTGATAAACTATGTTTTTTCGTATGAGTACAACCATCTAATGATTATTGATGAGTTAATCAATAGCAGTCAAAACAATACACTACTACTATACATATTTTCGAATAATCAAGAAAACTCAATACGTAATTTAACGACGAGTGGAAATGTCATATTCATTTGGTATCAGTTATTGATTGATGTACTTATACGAATACTATCATCAACTAAAAGTGCCAAAACTGATTTAATAGAAGTCAGTCGAAAGTATTAAAGAAGGAAACGAAAGTGAACAAGAGAAAATCGATGAATTCGACAAATGTTACGGATCGGCCAATACTATTTTCTGGTGCACACGAAATTGTTTTCTTTTTCGTCTATTGAATCAAGTATTTCGAACAGCAGATATTAATAATATATTCAAATTTCGCTTTTTTTATTGTCGATCTCTATCAACAACTACTCATTTTATATACTGCACAAACGTTTTCCATCAAGTTTAATTGTTTATCGTGGTCAAACTCTAGATTTAACTCTTTTAGAACATTTGAAGAACATATCGGTCAGCTAATATCGATGAATACATTTTTATCGACAACCACTGATAAAGTGGCTTCAATATTCGCTATTGATGGGTACAATCTTTCGAATTGTCTCGGTTGATATTGAAAATAATGTATGGATTGTAAAACTTATATTTACGAAACAAGAAGATCAACGATTAATTGAACTGATTGATTATCAAAAACTGATACTGAGAGAAGAGGAAACGATGATGGTTTTAGGAAAACTTTTACAAAACATAGGAGAGATGAAAAAGGCAAAACGTTATTATAGTCTTATGCTAGAAAATTTGCCAGAGGATACTATTGAGATTACATTTATTTATAATAATCTTGGTGCAATGGCCAAAGATGAATGCAAGTACGAAGATAATACTTATGAAAAATCCATGTATATAAATAAAAAAATTTTATTCGAAATTCATCCACATATCGCCGTGTTATATGATAATATCGCTGATATTTATTTTTGTATGAATCAAACTGAAAAAGCGATAGATTACTATGAAATAGCGCTGAGAATTTTTTTTCAACAATTTCAGATTGATAATCATCCAAAATCGCCTGAATGGAAGAATTCAAAGATCTTGAAGATTTTGAACAAATAGCTACTTCACAACAATGGAATTTACATATTCTTCGGAAAGGAAAAATGAAATTGTGGAATACAAAGAATAAAAATTATCGTACAGCTTTGAAACGTGTTGAATATGATCGGCCACCAAAATTTATTACAAAAACTGATCTTACTTTTAAAATTGATGAATCTATTATTGATGCACAAGAACCACAATTGATGTACAATCAAATGCGTCAATTAACTAAAGAATTTCGAACACAAGCTGTGACATTATATGTTCAATCAGTGACACGTAAATATGAATTACTTACTAATGAAATTAAACGAATAATTAAAGGATTTCCAAAAGAAAATGATGATGGATTTGATTGTGAACCTGGTTATGCAGCATTCAAACAATATAATGAAATGCGTGAAAAACGATTTAACCTTGAAGTTGAACAATCAATTTATTTTTTAGACGAACAGCGAGTCGAGGACGAAAGTCTCCAACGGGGGAAAGTTATTGTCCCGACTCTAACACGATCGCCGGGCGAAGATTTTTTGCTCCAGCAATAATTAATGAAGCACAACTTAAACTGACCGAGGATGAATATCAATTACTTAAACTAGGACCTCGATTTATCAATGATCCACAAACGGCAGCTCGACGTCGAACAACTGAGTTGACTACTTTAAAACGTAAAATGAAGCACGTTTCTTTGAAAAGAAGGTGAGCCCCGGTCGTCCCGTTGAACAATTCATTGCCGAATTAGATAAATTACTTCAAAATTTATATCAAATTTCAATTAAATTACATCCTCGGTTAAATCAATCAAAAACTAGAAATAATGCTTCTATTCTTGATGACATAATTACATTTACACAATCACAAGGTAACAGTCAATGTCCTATTATTAAGAAAAAGAAAAATTATGGTCGATTAGTTAAACGTTTAAAATATAAATTACGTCTTTTCAATATAATTATTCGAAAAACTGACAAGTCAAAAGTATTTCATTTAGGTAAACTTGAAGATTATCAAAAGAAGTCAATCGAATATATGGAAAAGACTCAAGTTTATCAGTGTTTGGATACAAATGATCCACTACCTGATCTGATTAAACGTACAAATAAATATCTATTAGATTTACGTTTAGCTAAATGGATTAGTCAAAAACAATATGAACAATTATGTATTAGACCTAATGAAGTGGAATTAGCTCATTTATATTATCTTCCCAAAGCACATAGAATTGGTACTCCTCTTCGTCCAATTATATCTGGTCTCAAACATCCTAATATTAAAATATCAAAATTTCTTGATAATCTATTGAGACCTTTATTTTATAAAACGGCACTACAGACAACAGTTACCTCTGGTTTTGAATTACTTCAACGTCTAGAAGAATAGTCAGTACTTAATCTGCGTCAAGAGACTGTTTTAACACGTTCATTCTCGAATTTTGGTTGAGTTAAATTTATTTATAAGTCGTGAACGACGCAAGATATTAACATTCGGTTTTCAACATTCGATAGCCAAGACTTTAAGCTATGTTTTCATACGAAAAAACTGATTTCGAAAAAATTTCAAAGATCGGATTTTCAAAGGATTTCTGGAAAACCACTTCGTATCTCTCAAAACTAAAACAGTAACCTATCGATTTTTTTTTCATATGTAGATAGTCCAAAGTGTCCTGTTTAAAATGGGAATTAAGCGAACTCTTAGTTGTTTGTGGTTTAGGTGTGGCATCGGATTTCCTCGAAGTCCCAGGATCAATATTTCTTTAGATGTGGTAATCTCAGAAACGGATGGAAACATAGGTAATCGACCACGCTGAATCTTCTGGCAACATTTCGTTTTCGAAACAATTCCAGAAACCTAGTGAAAACGTATATTAAGTGAAATACCCAACTTTTGCCTATTTTTAAGTAAACTCAAAAAAAATCATAACCCAGTCAAGATCCATCCAAACTATGTCAGAATATCAAGATGTACTCTGTTTTACCTGCTCAATACTATGCAGCTCAGTAAAAGCTTAAAAATCAACAGAAAATACTTTGGTTTTTGAAAAGGTTTTCTAGAAATCTTCCGAAGTACAAGAATGTTTTTTACTAAAAAATCGTTTGGAGAAGGTAAAACAGAGTACATCTTGATATTCTGACATAGTTTGGATGGATCTTGACTGGGTTATGATTTTTTTGAGTTTACTTAAAAATAGGCAAAAGTTGGGTATTTCACTTAATATACGTTTTCACTAGGTTTCTGGAATTGTTTCGAAAACGAAATGTTGCCAGAAGATTCAGCGTGGTCGATTACCTATGTTTCTATCCGTTTCTGAGATTACCACATCTAAAGAAATATTGATCCTGGGACTTCGAGGAAATCCGATGCCACACCTAAACCACAAACAACTAAGAGTTCGCTTAATTCCCATTTTAAACAGGACATTTTGGACTATCTACATATGAAAAAAAATCGATAGGTTACTGTTTTAGTTTTGAGAGATACGAAGTGGTTTTTCAGAAATCCTTTGAAAATCCGATCTTTGAAATTTTTTCGAAATCAGTTTTTTCGTATGAAAACATAGCTTAGAGAAACATTGAGTTTGTCAAGAACAAGATAAAGTCGTGGCGGATAAACATCGAGTTTCTCCGGGAAAAAGATGAATTTCTCGTTGAGAAACATTGACGGAAATCGGTAGTTCTTGTCAAGAAACATGGAGTTTTACCGGGGAAAAGATAGACTGCTTAAGGAGAAACACTGAGTCGCTCAGAAAGAAGATGATGGTTTTGTTCAGCAACATCGAGTTGCTTCAAGAAAAGAAAGTGTGGTGAAATTTCGAATATCTCTGGAGAAAACAAGGAAAGAAAAAAAGCTTGGAGGAAGCAGTTCTTCTAGAGACACATCGAGTCGCTCGTGGAAAACGAAGACCCTGTGAACCTGGAGTTTGTGGCGCAACATCGACTCACTCGTCATCGCATCTCTCAGGAATAAGATGACGTTGCTGTGTATAAACATCGAATTTTTCACGACAAAACATGAAATTCTTGTCGCGAAATCTCGAGTTTATCAGGAAAAAACCTAGACTTCTTAAGGAAAACTTCTTTTACCGCCAAAAAAAATTAAGTTTTGTGCAGAAATCTCGAGTTGGCGAGCGGAAAGCTGAAGTTCTTTAGGAGAAATATCGAGTCTCTCAGGAGAAATATGAAATTCTTGTGTAGTAAGTCGAATTTTTCAGAAGAAAATCTTAATTTCTTCAGAACAATCATGCAGTGTCTCAGGACACCAGAAGTTCTTGTTGAGAACACCGAGTTTTACCGGCAAAAACCCGGAGAAACGTCAAGTTTTAAAGGAAAGAACCTGAGTCTCGCAGGAAAAAGATGAAGTTCTAGTGGAGAAACGTCGCATTTCTCCCGACAACATATGAAGTTCTTGGGGGAAAACATCGAGTGTTACTCGAAAAACCTAAACCTCTAAAGGAGAAACATCGAGTTTTACGGGCAACAAGATGAAGTTATTGCGGCGTAACATCGACTGTTACACGAAAAACCTGATGCATTCAAACATCGAATTTGTCAGGAAAATGTTTCTTAACGAGATACATTAAGGAGAAACAAGTTTGTTCGGAAAAAGATGAAATTCTTAAGGAGAAACCTCCAGTCGCTCAGGAAAAACGATTTAATCATTTCCCAAAAGAAAACTGAAGTATTTTTTGAATGGTAATAACTGTATGTGTCTTTTGTCATAGTTGAATTATTGAACAATTAGTGTATAGTTTGATGTTTGTTTTCAAGATACATATTTAAAACTTTCCTTCTCATAATTCAGACTCCAATATCGCATTAAATGAAGCATTATGAAAACTCGAGTCTAGCACAACTTTGATCCACTACTCGAGATGTATTTCTCATGAAAGCTTAAAGTTTTTCTGATGGGTCTTCTCCAATCAAAAGCGGGAGGCCTCCCCCTTTCCAGCCACTCTGTACAGGATGGCGATTCTCGTCGATTTAATGAACAGTAGCATAAAGCAAAAATAGTTTGACCCACGATGAGTTGACTAAAGCAGCTAACGATTCTTGAACGTCGAATATTGTGTAAGTAATATCAACGCTTGAAAAAATTAATTCCACAATAACTAATAAAGAGCACATATAAACAGATGAAACGACAGAAAAGGATATAAGATAACAGATAGCAAGAAATAAAATAAAAGAAGAAAAAATGATAACCATCGTTTTGTTGTCTACTGAACGTATATAAAACCACTTCTCCACTGATCACACACTTACAACACAACTGAAGAAGACTAATGAAAGTAATCGGAATATATTTTGTAATATTACATTGTTAAAAAATTTCGTTACTTTTGTTATTTCATTTCTAACCGTGTTTCAAATAAAACTGTAAGTAGAACAAGTCTTCTTAAAAAGGCGAATAATTCAGGACAAGAGCACACACTCATCTATCTTCACCCTCATTATCCTCCTGCTTCGATTGGTCACTAATTGTCAAAACACCCTCACGTCACTCCCACCTCTTCACCCACACTCATCTGATAGAGGTTACATTTTTTTCCTACAATATTGAACTAATAGCTCGAGAATAGGTCTACAATCGAGAAAAAGTTGTCTAAAATCTATTGTTTAAAGCTACTCCTTACCTAATCAGCGGAGCTAACGTCTACCACATAAAATTACTGTTTAAAATATTTATATATGAATCATGTAGATTAAATACGATATTATTTGAAAATAATCAGGGTGAAAAACACATAATAAATGATAAATAGACTTTAATTGTAGCTACTAGAGTCCTAGTATCGTTTTGTTACTGCTATAAGGAATCAAACACGAGCGTTTTCTCTTTAGGTTAACAACTGTTTGTAGCATGAATAAATTTTCGTATCTGTTTTATTATCATGTTCAAACTTATCTATTGGTACGTAAACATAATTTTTATCTAATAATTGTTTCATATAATCAATATAATTTGCTAATCCAAATAAAAAATTTTCATCAGACTGATTTGAATTTGTTTGTGGAAATACATGCGCGAAATCAATTAAGCGAACATCAACAAATGTACTTTTGTTCAACTCTTGGTCATTATCATCACCTTCATAAACAACCATTAATGATGATGATATCAATACAAATGTATGCTGTTGTTTCATATAATCTTGCAATTCATTTAATTTATTTATTACCAATTCGATAACATCTAAACGTAAATGAATTGGTGCACCATAAAAATAAGCAATACCATGTAGAATATCTGTTTTATTCAATGATCGAACACAACGTTTGTCATGATATTCATAATATTTAGAACGATAGATTTTCCATCCAGATAACTGAAAACCAATTTCAGCTACAACTGAATTTTTTGACATTCGATGGATTTTTTCTTCATTTGCTTCTTTATCATATGTAATACGACCTATCTTAATATCAGTTATGCATGGATGTTTAAATGGTTGAATAATATTTTCTAATATTATATAAGACATTTTTTGACATTTATATGTACCTAAATAATGTGGTAAAAATTTTCGTAAATTAATTAAATCTTCTGAATTATACTTTGACTTGGATGTTTGACAAAAAACATCAATATAAAATTGTTCTTCACATGGACCACGAGGGGGATTTAACAATGGTTTTAATACATCTCCATTTGAATGTTGTAATAAACCATATTTTGTTTTAGACTGATCATAAAAATGTCCAGCGATCTGATGCTCTAATGGACGAGAATTTGGTGGTAGCTCAATAAAACTATTATTACCATCATCATTAATGTTATTCTTGTCACATTTCACGTGATGACTACTATTATCAGTAGCAGCAGAGCTCTTCATTATCGTTTTTAATTTTTCTAGCTAATCTACAAATAAACATGACAATATGTTGCTTTTTTCAATGGCTGAATGTCAAGATTAACTACAATGAAAAACAATGTTTAGAAGAGCGTATACGAGACTAAAAGTCATGTGCTTAATCTACTTAACAGTAGAACTAGCAGAAAAGAAAAAAACTAAGAATCAACTGACGGGTTTGTAGCGTCAAGTAAAATCATCTGACAAATCTGTTCAAACTGACATGGAACAAAGTTGAATGACGACGAAGCGATTGAACGATTGCTACGATTTAATGTAATTAGAACGAAACTTTTATTTAGTAGAAATATGGTTTAACAAGATATTATTCTACATAGACACTTGTATTCTGAACACATAATACTATAAACAAGAACTATCGAAAACAATGAACTGACATGTTGACTTCTATTTTTATCATTTCCCAAAAGAAAACTGAAGTATTTTTTGAATGGTAATAACTGTATGTGTCTTTTGTCATAGTTGAATTATTGAACAATTAGTGTGTAATTTGATGTTTGTTTTCAAGATACATATTTAAAACTTTCCGAACTTGTTCCATTTGACCTATTCAAAGTCAAAAGACAAAAACGACAAAGGTTGAAAGTTGTGAAAGTCAATGTCTCTATTACATACTAGGACGGTGTGGACTTAATTTTAGTGATGGATTTTCACGTAGTCGATATAATTTATCACATATTTTCATAGCTTCATCACCTAAATATCATTAATACACAATACTTACTTACAAATAAAAAAAGAAATAAAAAGCCTACGTACTATGCATGTCAAATAAAATACCAATTATAACTAGAAAAATAAACAAGAAGTACAATGTGTTAGCAAAAATATACCATATTTCGTTTAAAGAAATTAATAAACATATTAATTGATAGTGTGGCGTAAGTTGATGCACATAAATAATATCAAATTTTCATTCTCTTGCTATCATATTTTAAACAGAAAACTTGAGCTCAAAAATAGAGTTATTTAGTATTTGTTTTCCTCTAGCAAACTAAAGAAAGAAAAATAAGGTATTTTTCAACTGACTATTTGCAAACTTTACAACTATGGTAAAGTCAAAAAATAGCTCGTTCAGTGCACAATGGGCAAACACGTCAACATTAGGTAGAAAATCGAAAGTGAGATTTTCCAAATTTTGAATAGTAATACATATACAATAACGAGAGTCCAATCTTTTGGTAAAAAACGTTTTGTTTTGAGACTTTGTATTGGTCCGAAAAAAATGAGTCACAAAAGCACATGTGTTTCACGCACGGTAGGTGAAATTTTATCTCAATTATTTAGTTTTAGCTTTTCTGAGATTTTAATAAAATATGTGCTGAAAGTGGAGCGGCTAAGCTATCGACTGGTAAGAACAGTTTTGGTTGGAGCACGTTTCGAAACTTTTCGTGCTGAAGAAAAAAGGTTTCTGAAAGGAATGGTTTTCCAAAAAAAGTCTTCTTAGTAAAATCGCAACTACCCTGTTAGCAACTTGATGCAAGTACTTGATTACGTGCTAAGTACTTGTCAATGATCGAAATATTTGCCTTATTGCTAAGAAGTATTTTCTGAATGTACTTGGTAACTAAGGACAAGTACTTACAAGTAAATTTACTTCTGAAAAAAAGGCAAGTACCGGCTCCATTACGCAGAAGAAGTACTTGTCCCAAGTACGTTCTCTAGGGCTATTACACACACTAGATAAAAAGACTCGTTAAATGAAACTCTGACAGCATGTTGTAGTAGTCTCAGCATAGAGTCAATAGTAATACTATCAAGTGTTCTCATACTGCATAACTACAACTCAATAAACAATCAACTCAATAAACATAACTTTATTTATGATCAAATGAAAGCGACTTCCAAGCGTGTTCGCATGACGCAAGAATGATCTCACAAGCACTTTTTACTTCTTCATAAGCGTAGCCGTGAGATCCACTTTGGTTCCTCCTGACCTCCTCCCTCCAAAACTACACGTCAACTGTTAGAGATCTTGTCATCCCACACACTACTCCACTAATGCTGCAAAAAACACAAGGTATTGACTAGGTGGGTTTTCTAGAAATCCCGTAAAAATCCTAAGTTGCTCATAAATATTACATGTAAACTAATCTGATGTTTGCACTCAGCATGTTGATTTTTCCATAATTTAGTATTTTTACTCATCTAGAATTAGAACTATATGACGAGATAGTAAATATACCATAATCTTCTCTGAATTTCCTTCTTAGATGAAGATTATTACTGTCTAACCAACCTCTACCAGAGATGATTTAGTAAATCGTGTCGCAATGTACAGAAGAGGCAACAATGTGACTTTCCAGATCGCAAAAGAAATATCCTGCTAGGAACGCTGACACTACATTTTCGTCCACAAACCGGTGGGTAATAGAGACAATCAAGGGGAGAATTCAGCAATTTAGGTTTTATGATAGAATGTTTTAAACTGGGTCTTTGTCAAGTGTTTCTGCCCACCTATTGTATAAACTAACTAATACGTTCAGGCTACTATTCTGCCAGGCCATATCTAGACCTATATAAAATTTACGATAAAACAGTATGATGATACATTTTTTGATTCTTCAAGACGGTTTTCAGAGACGCTCATTAGTTTAAGCTTTGAGTGTACAAAAATTCCAAGATAGTTAAAGTTCGTGACATCATACATCCATGGATGACTTCTTTTAATATCATACATGTCGCTGATATCATCAGCTTTAACGATCTAGAAATTTTTGTCATCTTACACGAAATTTAAAATCTGGAAGAAAACGGTATCGCTAATGAAGGAATTTGTCTTTTCAAGTGTGATCCACTTTCTGTAAAATAGTCGATCAAAGCTGGACAATTGAGGGTGAGGGTGAAAAGTACAATGTAGAACCCGTTCCATCATGACAAGAAAAAGTCGACCTAACTGATGGATACCAATATTTAGTTATGTGGATGATTTTTGTTTCCTCCTTTCTCTCTGTCTTAGTCAGCTTGACATCAAAAGAAATTTCAAAGCTTAGGGTATTTTCAAAGTTAGCTAAATCGGAAAATTATCATCTGTCGGATAAAATCTCTTAAAGCCTTTGGCTGCAAATTTTCGCTATAAGAAAAAGGTTTTCTGTAGAACGGATTTCCCAGAAACCGTTTTAATGATCTTAGGTGTTGATTTACGCATGGTTCGATTTGGCTATCATCGGCAAGCTTGAAAAACAATTGGTGCAGGAAAAATCAGTTTTTTGAGGTTTTTCAGTGGTCAAAAGCCGTAAAGTTTCTGGAAAGCCGACTCTGAAGTTCCGTACAACTCTAACAGCGTTCCTTATGAAGGAGCATATGCGAAAACCTATAAATACTAATTTTCAAGTGGTTTGGAACTACTTAACACCAAATGTTGACTTGCCATGAGCAATTACCCACTGTGCAAGGAGCGATAATCAATCATCTATTGTTCAAAGTATTTTTAAAAGTGATAAACAGTACTTTTTTCCAATGGTTTTTAGTTCAAACCGTCATGCTCTGTGAATCCCGTTTTGACATCCGTTACTACTGAACCTCGTTCATGTACAATTCTCTGCACTCTTCAATCAGCAATTATTTAAATTAAAACTTACTTGAAACAATTAGTCCTGTACGACCGTGACCACCCCTAAATAAAATATTACTTTGTATAAAGTACGAGAGATATACGGATTTCTTTAGTCCAAAGATTTTACTTTTTCGTCGAGAATGTTGTTGTCAACAAGAATTATGGTAAATGCGTACGTAACAAACAGCTTGAATAATGAACTTTCCGCATCAAGATAAACGAGAAATCACATGAGGAAGTTTTTTTTCGCTTTTAGACAAACAAGGAATAAATCACAATTTACGTGACTAGAAAAAAACTTTATATCCACACTACTATCGTGATTTAGAAATCGTCAAATTCGTTAAGTTTAGAAGAGTAGAATGGTCGTTCGTTTCCGAAGAAGCTGATGTTGCAGATTATTGTGTGCCACTATCATTCCGAGAATTGCTAAGGTGAGTTTTGGTACAATTCCTTGCCAATAGAAGGTCTACTTGCATCACTCTTCATGTTAGCCAATCAGGGAGCGAATGTCTGCTGGAACTAAGACTCAGCGCGCATGCATTGACGGTTTGAAAGCGCCTGTAGATTCAGGACTGGTCTTCCAAACGCGAGAACTTAACTCAAGATCTTTTCAATATCTCATATAGTTCTACAAGTTTCTATCAGAAACAGGGGTATTAACTTAGTGTTACTTTCGAAAATAAAGCTAAAGGAAAGCTTTATTTTTTAAAAATAACCATAAATAAATGAAAAATTGTTTACTGTTATAAAGTAAAGGTGAAATAAAAACTAAAGATTTTATGGATGGTATTAACTTTCTGCGATCATGGCTTTCCTCGGAACTTGATATGTTTGTTCTATTCAACTTACTGTTTCCGAGCTTGGGCTGTTTCAGCTGATCTGGGCACGCATCAGGTTTTTTTTTCATAAAATATCTCGATTAACGGCGATAATTTTACCTAGTCCAAGAAATATCGCGCTGAACATTAGAACTATCACGGCATAATAAGTTTATCGGTCTATACCCCATATAAAATATTGTACCACTAAAGAAGCTTACCACGATAATTCTAAAGTTTATCGAGGTAAAATAAAGCATTGCGCTAGTGCTAAAATGCATCGCGATGAAACTTATTATCTCGAAAACATTGCAAATATATTTTAGCTCAATAAAGCTAGACAAAGGACCCTGTCGCATTTCAAAAGTATGTCGAACGAGAAAGCTATATATCAGGTTTTGTAGAGCTTCTCGCGGCGGATCTAAATCTGTATTGGGATTGGGTTAATACCTTCTGGTTCCGAGATGTGGGTGTTACCATGTTTTAGGTCTATAATCGGTATTGATGTAAGAGGAAAAATCGAGATTCGGTAATGTAATATAATGAGATGTTGTCTTACCCATATTCTTGTAGAGCAATGAAAACTGTACAAACTAGTTCGATAATGGGTAATAGAGCCTAGTTCTTCTAGGAAAAATGGGTCTACGAAAAAAAATCGATCATACACATACTGCATGTGTGCAGTAAATTAGCTGTAAAATCCAAATGTTATGGAGAAACAAATCGTAATTTTGTCAAAAACTGTATGAGTATGCGCTCTATCTGGCACATTCATATAGAGGTCTGAAATCTATCTGCGTCTATGGGGAAAAAAAATCTTTACTGGAAAAAAGTATACCAGAATAGGGTATATTTTGGGTCTTAAACTTGTTTTTTTCTGGTCTAATTTACTTATCAACCAGTTTTAACGCCATATTCGTTGAGTCGGACGGAGTTTTATCCGGTTTTCTCTTCGGGAACATAGTGCAACCAAGATGAATCATTCATCTTAGACTCGCTTCGAGATTGAGCTTAGAATGAATACACAGCAATTTTATTTTCAAACACGCTCTCTACTTGTCATAGAAACTATGTTAACGGCTTTTTGAACTTTTAGAAAGATTTCGATTGTTACTTCTAAAACAGCTTCAGTCTAAGACTTCTTCAAGTTCTTTCGTGTATTTCTCAATTAAAGTTCGACATATAACTGGCATTCGATCTTAAAATAAAAGTGAGCATGATTGATGCTTTGTGGTTCACATTGAATATTACCGATAAGGTAACGTTTGCCATATGTAAAGAAAGCATTCACGTTTGGACTGTCAGAGAATGTTTACCCGTAGATAATATCGCTAGGATCAGTTCGTTATTAGATTCAATCTAATATTCCGTGAATGAGACAGAATGACTGAGCCCCAATCCTCTGTACGTCAAACAGAACCGAACTGATTGAAAACTGAATTACATCCTGAGAGTCACTAACAACAACGCGATCGTACGGCGAGGATTCTCACAATTGTTATAAAAAGCATTAATCTTGGATGCATTTCTCACTTCTGTGCATTTTTATTTTGAGATCTTTGCACACTCAACATTGATTGAGCCTATATATTGAGAAAATCCTTAGATTTCATTATTTAAAAGTGCTTTAAGAACAGAGTAAAAAGTAGGTGAAAACATAAAGATAGTAATCGATATTTTTGACTTTTATAAGATGGTGAAAACGAAGGGGACCAAAAATATCTCTGATGCCATTTTGTAGAACTCGACGAATACTACAAATAAGAGAAAAAGAAACAAATCGACACACGAAAAGAAAACGAATACTTTTTGTGCTGAAAAGGTCTGAAAGTTGGCTATTTTGAAAAGCGAGCCTTCAGGGATGGGCTCAAAAACGGAGGTAGATATCGGCCTTACTCTTTTGTAAAGCTCCTTCGATCATACAAAGAGAAAGGAGTTCCACTTTATACCCAAAATCAGGGATCTTTATCTTATGTTGGCCTCCCTGCTTTGCGAGGGTATGTATCTTAAAGAACCATGCGTCTTTATCGTATATGGTAAGAGTCGTTATCTCACATAGTAGGAGTCTTTATCTTACAAGGCAATAGCATTTACCTCAATGACCACACGTCTTTATCTTAGATGGTTATAATGTTTGTCTTACGGACCTATAATGTTTTGGATGCAAGACCACCGGTTTTGATTTAACACTGTATCATCACAACGTCTTGGTTTCCCTATTAAGGAGCTTCATATTTTAGCCCCCAGCGGGGCTATCTTGACAAGGCCGTTTTATTGGATTAATCAACTCTTTAGCTTCGTTTTATCTATAGTACAAAAAGTTTTTGTTCTGCCTTCAGAAGAGGTAAAATCCTGAGTGCCATTTTTTCATTTTCGGCCATTTTGTGACAGCTGGCCTGTGCTTGTAAAACTAGTATGACATGTTTTGAGTATCAGTACTTATACTACTCGAGCTACTTCTTCGTGTGGTATATTAAACATGCATGTTAACTCTATTCCTGTAAAGAAAAATAAGGCCGAAATTGCTTCATTGTAGGAGAGGTCGAAACTTGACATACTTGAAAAGGCATGTAGAATAAGACTGTTTTAGCGAACATGTGGTCGAGAGTGGCAAGTCTTCGTTGAAGTATCGACCCAGCAAAAAGCGCAGAAATTGTATTAAAAACAATTCTATACTGATACACTACCAACTGTATTGAGATATAATCCCGACTCTTGACTATCACTGGGAAATAGTAGACACTAGATGGGCTATTTTTAAAAAACGTTTGATGTAACATGAAGAGAATTGTACGAGGTTTATGAAAAGTTGAAGTTGTTCGTGAGCTGATTGTCAATTAAGCTTCTAATTTAATTTTTCTTTTAATTTTAATGAACGAAAGACCGTTCAAAAACAACAGTATCCATATTCTCTACAGGAGACGATGAAAATACACTTTTTCTATCCGGTTTTTACATATATGATAGAGCTCATGGTTCTGAACAATTGTAACAAGATTTTTACATCAGTAGATAGAGAAATGTTCCGTCTATCTACCTGCGAAGTGTCGTTTTTTTCCGAGTAAAAATGCTTCAGGTACGCTCAAAATCGTGTGAAAATTAGAGAAGCTGTCCCGAATTACCCCAAGTTATTCTATTTATGGTTCTGGTCTAAAAATGTTTCTTTTCTACGATATATACGATCTGTTTTGTTCATTTTTGTTCAGTTCGTTTATGAAGAATTTTTTTTCTTCTTAGAAATCTTAAAGCTGCATGCCTGAAGAATATTAATTATATATAAGCCCCCAGAAACTCATATGTTCCATTCTCCTTCCGTTTTTTGTTTTAATTCTTTGAGAAGATTGTGTTCTTATCATATGGCATTTGACTAATGAGAAACCGAGAGCAGAAAAAACTTTCTTCTCTATGCCATCTATATTTTTTCTTTCTCTTTTCCGTCTAAACACAGAAATCACGTACAATGTGAAAGGAGTCTAACATTACTAATTTGCTCTAGTATTCTTTGTTTAATTTTTACAGTTTATGATCTGAGCCACATATTTGCTGCGCTCATCAAAAGAGTAGCTATCTATTCCACCCAAACCAGTGATTAACATACCTTGTAATTTTGCTTATATCTCAATTCAAAATCTTCAGAGCTTTGGCTTTTTCGTCAAACGCTTGCCCTTTTAATATGAAAATTTGGATCTTTAGCGAAGAGAAAAGGAATTTCAATTACAGTTAACACAAACAGTCGTCAAATGAAGTTTGGCACAAAATTTTCCGAAATTGTGCCGATTCAATTCTATATCCAAGGTTATGGAAAAGTTAACCATTCAGTTAAGCATTCAGATGAAAATGGTATCTGTTACAGTCGACAGTGGAAGTGCTATTAAAGACGCTGTATCAGTATTTCAATGCGGAACACGATATTCTTGTAATGCTCACGACATTAATTTAACAATATCAACCGGTTCGGGCTTCTGGAAAATTTCGAAATCGAAAAGCATATGAAAACTACCTGCTTTTTCCTCGCAACGATTCAAGCCGGGAGACCGCGATATTCGGATCGGGCATGTCGAGAAACGGTGTTCACCTAAGTTTCATCTTGAAGGC